AAAGATGAGTTCAAATGACTCCAACATCTGTGATGAATTACTTTTTATCCTACCTTAGTGATAAGTTCAAAATGTTGCCATTCTACATAGTCATAAGATTTCTGTCCTATGCTAATTATTCATGTACACCAAGATTTGAGGTATGGGCAGGGCATCATGGTGCACGCCTTTATTCCCAGCACTCAGGAGGCAGAAGTGGCCGGATCTCTGTGATTCTGAGGTCAGCCTGGTCTAAATAGTGAGTTCCAGGACAGCCAGGGCTACAGCCTGTCTTAAAAAAAAGGTTGAGGTATTAGTAAAAGCTATGTTAAATTTCCTATTTTATGGGGGGATTTACAGTATAATATTAGACTCTTCTGAAGGCTAGATGTAGGACAGTGCTCTTTCTCATATGAATTTGCTACTGTCCAATAAAGAAAAGCTTTGATCCAAGGCCAGGCCATGTTATCACATCTGTAGTTGTTCTCAACTATGAATTTTTATGGAATAACTGCTACACACCTGCCACATTCCTCGTAGTGTCTCCCTCATCTATGAGCATTTGGTGCAACCTGAAGTCTCAGCGGTTGTTAAGGACATTAGCTGAATGAATAGGGTTTTTATCCTTTATGAAATAACCAGTGAAAACTATCTTACTATTAAGGTTTTGACAAATTCTCTACACTGCTGGGTTTCACTAGAGTATGAGTTCCCTGGTGCCGCTTAAGGCTGGAAGAAGTAATAAAGGCCTTGCCACAATCTTTGCATCTATAGGGTTTCTCTCTGGTATGAATTTTCTGATGCCGATTAAGCTGTGAGGAAAAGTAATAAGCTTTGCCACACTCTTTACATTGGTGAAATCTGTCTCCAGTATGGATTCTCTGGTGTTTAGTAAGGTATGAGGAACAGTTAAAAGCTTTGCCACAGTCTTTACATACATAGGGTTTTTCTACAATATGTATTCTCTGATGCTTATTAAGGTACGAAGAACAGTTGAAGGCCTTGCCACATTCTTTACATATGTAGGGCTTCTCTCCGGTATGAATTCTCTGATGCCGGTTAAGCTGTGAAGAAAAGTAATAAGATTTGCCACACTCTTTACATTTATAGAGTCTGTCTCCAATATGAATTCTCTGATGCTTAGAAAGATAGGAAGAACAGTTGAAGGCCTTGCCACACTCTTTACAGATGTAGGGCTTCTCTCC